TTCAAACAAAACGTACTCTAATCAGTAACACTCGTAGAAGGCTAAGGCCTTAATGGCTTGTGCATGTTAATATTACACAAAACGTTATGGAGGAAGAAAGAATCGCACAATAGACGACAAATGAGACTCATCTCCCAATTTAAGCATGAACTCAAAGGGGCTAAATATACCAGTGGTTAAAGGAAACTCAAGCAGAGGTGAATGCAATTCTAAAAAATTGGAATGTAGCTAAAAATAGTAGTGTCATGCTAAAAGACGTTGCTTTTACTATAAATCAATGTACACTATTTCAAAAATTTTGAATTTTTTAGTGAAAAGTGTGTTGACAGTGTGAATGGTTCCTTACACATTTAAACAGATAGAAAAGTAACTCTTACTGTCCCAGTATATTGTCGATATACTGGGGCCGTAAGGGACAATACATTGTTGCAGCATTATAAAACTGAGATATTTTCAATGCCTAGATTTTCAACCAAGAGAGAGCATGGGCTGAAAACATTGAATGGTACATTGGATAAAAAGAATAAAGAAAATAAATGCCACATACTGTAGTTCAAGGGAAGAAAAACATGCAGGCTACTATGCTTGCACAGCCAACTTGCTGAAGCTTTTGAACAAGTGCGTTGACAGTATGAATGGTTTCTAACGCATTCCACACAAAGAAAAAAAAAGAACTCTTAAAGCCCCAGTATATTGCCTATTAGAAAGTGAAGAGTATGCAGTTGTCTCGCAGCATTATAAAAAAAAAATATGCTAGCTACTATGCTCGCACACCCAACTTGCTGGAACTTTAAACCTCATGTGAAATGTTAAATGAAGATATTGTAATTATTGCACAGCTAACTTGCTGAAACATTTGAACAAATGCATTGACAGTATGAATGGTTTACAACACATTCTACACAAATAAAAAAAAGAACTCTTAAAGCCCCAGTATATTGCCTATTAGAAAGTGAAGAGTATGCAGTTGTCTTGCAGCATTATAAAAAAAATATATGCAAGCTACTGTGCTTCCACACCCAACTTGCTGGAACTTTAAACCTCAAGTGAAATGATGAATAAAGAAAATGTATTTAATGCTGCTGTAATAGGTCAAAAAGGAAGGTTATAACAATTTATCTCCACTGAAATGTGCACACTGTTATGGCAAATGAAACACTAATGATGAACATCAATGTTTTTAGGCACTTAACTTCACTGTGTTGTTAAAGAGACACTGAAACAGTTTTGAAATTTTAGTAGAAACACAAGGGGTCGGTAGACCAAGTCCTAAAAGTAATTTTCAGACTGATTTCAGATAAGAAGGAGGGGATGATATAATTTCTTTTAGCAGCTTTGGTGCACCGTGTGCTGCTAAATTTGTGCCACTAATGGTATGACAATACTTTAACTTGAAACTTCTAAAAACTGTTTCAGGGTCCCTTTAAATAAGTTCAGTACAGCCAAAACAGACTGCAAAGGCCCCGAAATCTAATCATGGTTGCGGCAGATCAACCTTAGTTTAGTGCCCCACGTGTTATTACGAACAGACCGAACTACCGTGGGGATGATCGAAAACCAGACTTAAGCACACCAATAGTACATTATCACAGAAATGCTCGCATATCTTGACTAGTTCTTCATCTCAGCACACCTCACGATGGAGAGCCGATGTCAAGTTCATGTGCAAGAGACAATGTGTTTGCAATACATGCCCAAGTGTCATCAGAAGTGGTCACATTGTTGTCTGTGACAAAAAGTTCTTCAACTTTTATCACTGACAAGTTCACTCTTCCAATATGCAATAAATTATCCTTGAGACGCAACAGCTGTACACTGCAAGGTTGACAAATAATGTCTGCTGGCACCACCACAATGTGAGGTATCACCTTAGCCGTTTGCCGGGACAATCTCTTTGGTATTATTGCAGTGCAGTCTTGTGGTCGTCTTGCCCGTGATTTCTTTGCATTTCTACGTTGCATTGAAGATGAACTCTCATCAGATGAAATGTCAATGTCTGATTGAGAGGAATCAAAGCTATCGTCTGAATACTTTCGTTTGCGAGCATTTGGGCGTAAATAATGATGACGTAGCTGTCTTTTTTTGGGTGATGAATTTTCACAGGAACCAATGTGCTTCTTCTTATGTCCCTTTCCCAGTGGTTTAAAGGAGTACTGATTTTCTGTAGAAGGTCCTAACAACGAGTCCTGTGTTGAAGATGCATCAAAGCCATTGTCTTCAGAGGGGTTCACAAATGACCCCGAAGATGGCTCTGAACACACCTCAGAGTCCGAGTTGTCTAAAGAGGTCTTGTCTTCTGATGAAATCTCTTCCTCATCAGGGCTGTATGTAGGATCTTCATCAGAGCTTTTAGGAGCTTTTCTGCCATCTGTCACGTCATCCATGTCAGAACAGTCTGCACTGTCTGATGTAGAACATACAGCGAGAATGACACGAGGCTCAATAGGAGTTTTGATATCTTTCAATACTGACTCTTTGGAACCATCTGCAGTCACATGTGGGTCATGAGTGACACCACCTGATGTTCCTACCGTCGGAGGTGTGACAGAAGAAGCTGTGTCAACTTTTGTCACCTCATCATCAGAGGAGCTGATAATGATTATGTCTTCAATAGTAATTGTAGGAGCGGAAGTAACAGAATCCTTGTACCTAAATGTGCCCAGGTCCTTCCCATCCCAGTGCAGACGAATTATGCGATCCTTAAAAACCATCCGTTGGTTTACTCTGCTCGCAAGGAATGTTTCAATGCCTTGTCTGACCTCTTGTAGCGACAGTTTGGAAGCTACGTCAGAGCTCACTACAATACGGTCCCACGAGCTGTTCAGTGCGTTTCTGAGATGTGTGCAAGTGGGACTCTGCTTTTCATTGTGCATAGCTTTGTCAGAACATGAAGCTTTTTGAGGCTGCGTTTGTTGACTTGTACCATGCTGCTTCGCCTGAGAGGATGGTGTGCCAAATTGATTACGCATCTAGACTTGTGTATGGTACTTTTTGAAACGCTTTGCAGTTTGACCAGCACTTCTTTCTGCTTTTTGAGTTGCTGTTAACAAATGCGACTTCTTTTCACTTTCTTGAGAATTGACTTCATGTGCTTTTGGCAACCCATTAACTTGCAGAATTGTAGATCCCTGCTTCGTAGTCTGATCAGCCATAGCTGAGTGCACAGATGGCTGAATAACACTTGATTGCATCAGCATATCAGCCTCAACTGCACGCACTTTGCAGACATCAATACCTTGGATCATGTTCGTTTCACTGCTATTACTCCCTGGCAGGTTACTCACATGCTCTTGATGAACTGAACCAGGCTGCTGGTTTGTCTGCGATAATTGCTTGCCTGGTGGTATACTTTCGGACGGTAAGGAAGGAACATAATTGCCCGAAGGCAGTGTTGCATCTTCAAGCAATTGATTTGCTGCAGCGCTTGATGACGGCCACGGATGAATTAAAGCAGAATTCAATTGAGGTGATGGAGAATACATATTCTGCTGCTGGCTTGAAGTATTTTAGTGCAAATCCGTTGCACTTTCTGTCAACGATGGATGGTCCATGAAAACATCTGAATAACCCGAGGTCAGTGCCATAGCTTCTTCTATGACTTCAGTCGAATACTGTGAATGCTGTGGCGGCCGTGATATCGTTGCCGATGGCACGTGGCTCGAGCAGGCAGTTGCAATTACAGGAACAGAAGGCACATAACTTGGCTGCTCGCCTGGTTGCTGTACGTACAGCAATGCGCTTTTTGTTGACGGTGAATGAGTCACACCAAAAGAGCTTTGGTAACCCGAGGGTTGTGCTGCATCCAAAGCGCGGGGCTCTTGCGACAACAAATCTGTAGATGTCTGAGGTTGGTCAAAGCCTGCCGGCATCAGGATCAATGATGCTGGGTCAATGGTTATTGGCAGCACTATTTGAATTGCAGCTACTGCAGGGCTCACCTGGGAGTTCACACGTGGCCTGATCTCGTACTTACGGTCACTCATTTTCTTACGAACACGCGGCGCGCAGACACCATCAGGCAACATACCAGGGTTCGTGTTTGTTCCTTCCTCAACCAGCCAAGCTGAGTCAGCTGTGGTTTCAGGGATACCATTTGGGCCCGTAGGGTTTACAGCTAAGCTGAAGACATTCGTGATGACTGGCAATGGAAACTCTTGATTAGGCTCGCTGCATTCTTGCTCCGAAGACGGAGGATCGTCATCCATCTTTGCAGTTGTGGGGGTTGAAAAATGGTCACGTGCAGCAGCGTGTTCAGATGTCAACTTAGCGTCTCTCAACACTCGCGCAGTCGCCAAGTTGCAGTTGCCGTTTTGCGCCGGTAACTTGCCGATCACAAATGAGAAACGCAGCACACGCACACCAACAAATCGATTCGGACGTTGTGTGCACCGGCTAATTAAAAACCGAATTTCTCCGTGTTCAAACTTGCAGCCACAGCAGCCTGGTTTCTTTTAAAACAAAGAAGGTCGTTTTGAGGCCCCTGATTGGCTGTGTCTGCCATGGATAAATGGATAGATAAGGCTGTAGGCTTTAAATTGGGCGGTTGCTAGCGCTACCAAGCTGTAATACTTAATGATGTCACCCCAGCCAACGCCTCCTCTAAGAAGATGCCTGCCGCATGAAAAAAAAAAAAAAAAACAGCTGCCACACTTTTTGCCTTCTTCATTTTGAAAATGTTTTGGTCGCTAGCGTCACTTGTGGCGGACGGTGAAACAACGCAACACTTTGCATAGCCTCCAAAACAGTGGTACACAGTTGCAGGTTTTGAACAACTCTCGACGGACGCGCCCCTATGGGCCGCAGATGAAAAACGCTTAGCTGATACTGCCCCTGCTGGAGTGGAAGCCGCCTATGCTTACCCATGGGAGGGGGTGAAGCCGCGCCGAGCCGCCGGCGGCCATCTTGGCAGAGGCAAGAAACAGCCGAGTACAGCTGCGCTCGCGCTTATCTAAGCAGCAGGTGCAGTTTCTCGCGTCTTCAAAGCAATAAAAACAGTTGTGTCAGGTTGTAAGCATTTATTCTTTGCTTTTTGGTGGCAAATGGCCTACGATAACGCTTTGAGAAACTCGAAAATGGCAGAAAAAACACAATCACACAAACATTAAAAATATATGCGAACAGTATAGCCGAAACGAGCAGTGCGGGGAGACTCACTGATGTTTGAAAATGATCATTCTTGAAAGAACTGGCCTGACCCTTTCCTTGATGATCTCGCGGTTTCTTTCTTTTGTCATATGGTGGATGCGGATTTTCACATACAGCTCCGCAACTTTTTTGCACAAGCTGTAGATATGATTGTCGAGGGGATCAAGGTCAAGAATGTGCTGCTCTAGCTTCTGAAACCATTTTTCCTCTACAGACAGTCGTAGCACTTCCAAAACGAGATGCTTTGACTGGGAGTTAACTGCTTGAAGTGTTCCACACTCAATCTGTTGCCGTCGCAGCCCCTTTTCAACGGCTTCACACAAGCCAATGACATCCTTGGACGGGGACACAAGCCCACCTCTGTTTTTCTGCTCAACTAGGGGAACTAGCTCATCTGAGTACAGGGCTGCAATGCACTCTTCGCATGTTGTTGTCTCGCACACTTGGCGTACAACGAAGCCTGCGATATAAGGCACCACCGCAACAACTACGGCAGAAAGGTTTTCAGGATGCGTGTAGTCGTGGTCATCGTGAGGCTCCAAGATCGAGGACCTGCGCATGTCTGTGAGCGCGCTTGTTGCGTCTACCTGGGCGACAACAGTAGTGGCATTCAGGATGGAAACCATGTCTTTGGTGCAGTTTCCCGAGCTAGAAGACGTCACTTCTGTTTGCTGGTGCAAACAGAAGTGACGTATGTTTGCACCAGCAAACGCTTTTATGCTGCCATGAACTGAGCAGCGGTTGGGTTGTTGTTATACTTACCTCGGCCACGAACAGATCCGAAGAAGTTCTCAGCGTGATCCTGGCTCAGTTTGTGCGTCAACAAGTACTTCAGCTTACCCTGGCCAACAAGCTCGTCGAACATTTTTTCAGTGCTCGCCATGCAGATCAAGAAGCCCACAAAACCAGTTTTTTTCAAGCCTTCTAAAACTGGCCGCCCAGCCGGATCTCTCAATCCCTTTATATACGCTTGGGTGTAGGCAAAGAATGGCTTCTAGCAGGCTTCATTCTGCTTCCGCAGAGGAGCCTTGTACGACCTTGCAAAAGGGTTCCTAGAATTAAAAAGGTCGAACAGGTGATCGAAGACCCTCACGAACTTCGATGTTGCACTGGCGCCCCGGAACTGGGGTAGCTTCAGCACATTTTCACAGAAGTCCAAGGCGTCAGCCACAGAGGAACTCAATGCTTGCGCAGCATATCGCACCTTCATCTTTTGTTTTTCCCATTGCACGTGGACTTTCGTGAGTTTGTTGCCCAGCCGCAGTCCTTCGGAACGCTGCAATGCCTCCAATGCCACTATGTAGGCCCACTTTATGTGCTTTCCTTCAGCATCAACAATGTAGCTCAAGTTCGCCAAGGAATTGCGAATAAGCTTAATCATGTGGCAGGCGTCTAGGATAATGTAAACATTCTTAGCATCGTCAGCTGGGTTCACAAAGCTTGAAGAAATTTGCTCACAGTCAACATGAAGTTGAGCACCTAAACACCTGGCCATAGTGAAATTCGATGAGGCTCCGTCAAATGTGAGAGAGACTACTTCAGCCTTCACCGACGCAAGCTTCTCAATGCACTGTTTGGCCAGCTCGGCCCTCTCTGCTCCTGTGAGTGAGTCTATTAAGAAGTATCCAACTGGCATCTTAAATCTGACGTTGATTCCAACGATCATGAAGACACACGCATTTGCAGCTTCAGGAAGACCGTCATCGTCAAGCCCAGTTCCGAAGTCAACATACCCTACTACCTTATCTCCAACTAGCTCTACGTGTTTCCTGATGGCCATGTCGTCTACAATGAGAGCGCAGTAGAAGGGTTCATCACGTGCTTCCGCAAACTTCTCAAGGAAAGCAAATGCTTCGGCTGTGAAGCCAGGAGCTCCTTGAATCGACTTGTACTAGCCCCTTAGTGTTCGCTGGGATGGGAGGGCTTCGTTGAATTTGGATCGTACATACTCGTACGTGGCTGGACTGTAAAAATGCAGTCAGTGCAAATGCTCGCAGCTCAGGTGGGTACTTGCCCTTCTGCTCATTGCCCACCCTGCAAAGTAGTTGCTGAATGTCATCCGAGAAAACAGATGAAAACACATGTGAGCCTTCTTCTGACAAGAGTTTTTGCTCTCCGATTTCTTTGATGATTTCTTGGGCGGTTTCATTTCTCTTGACCAGCCTTCGTTTAGTTTGTTGCAGTGTTTTGACCTTCTTCAACTGGGTTATCTCTTCTTGTGAGGAAAGGACCTTGTCTTTGTAGAACAGTTTGGTTGGCGAGTCTTCAGGAAAATTTTCAGCTCCAGGCAGGTCGCACAACCCAGAACACTCAGGACCAGGCGGGGCCAGGAAATCTCGAGACTTGGGGTCGGGACGCTTCTGTTTGACCTGGGTTTGAAAGCATACGTTTTCTCAGACGAGCTAAAAAGGCAGCAAGCGCAAAAACTAAATGAAACCTCACACGTATAATGTGGGTACAATTAGGCTACACATTTTCTTTGAAGAAATAATAAATGTATTAAGTAACAAGCTTTTTCATAATCGTGCACGAGACATTGTATGCCAGCAAAAAGGACATGCACCCGCTCTGGTATAACTTTCCATTCGCCGGATGTGCCTTTAAGTATTGAATTGTAACCACTGTCAGTATGCTGTGGATGTCAATAATGTTTTTGTAGTAAACATTGCTGTATGCCCATTCCTGCTTAAGACCTGGTAAACAGGTCAGCAGTAATAAATAAATATGTATCTTGATCACCAGTTAAGGCGAAGGTGAAGCAGTTACCGTTACCGGTAACTTCACCTTCGCCGGCGGCGTCCAGTAATGCGGTAAACGGTAACGCAAACACGGTAACGATATGCTAAAACTACAGCTACTCCTCCACAGTACCGCCAATTCTCGGCACGCAATCAATGCCACGTATACCCGCAACAACATTTCGTGGAACAAGTATTATGTAGCGGCCGTAACGCCACAAGCGTTATGCACGCTAAACATTACGCTTCTCGTCCAACGATGGCAGTAATACTCACAGGTTTCTGCAGATGAGGCGGAATAGCTGGAAACGACGTGGGCACACTTCCCACCCGCAGTCGCGTCGTTTGCCCAGTGCGGTCAAAGCACTCAGGACTGAAATGTACAGAGCACAGGCGGTCTCCATCCTTAGCGCGCCACCCTTCACGGCGAACTGCCCGCTCCCAAAGACTCCGAACTTCTGCATTCTTTGGAAACCTGTCAAGAAATATACGACAATCAACTGCGGCACACGTATACACAATGCCATTTTGCTGCTCTTTCATGCGCGGGCCTGCAAGCAACTACGATGCGGCTGAAATGACCGCGAATAGAACACGCTAAATTTCATGCACTTACAGGTGAAATGTGAGGCCAGAACCTTTCTTCAGCCTGTTTGTGCATCCGTAGGCAAAGCAGGAGGTAACCATTATCCAAGAGCAAGACTTGCACTCATTGAAAACTTTGAAGAGAACAGCGTGCACCAGCAACGAAGCGTGGAGGCGACACACCGGCAGCGCGCTTTCTGCCTCAGGCTATGCTCCGGCAAGATGGCTGCCGCTGGCGTCACCTGACGGGCGTCGCTTCCACTCCAGCAAGTTTTTATATCCTCCTTGATACTGCCCGCTGCCGTTATAATGGATAGATAGACATGGCTGTACCCTTTCGATTGGGCGGTGGCTAGCGCCACCAAGCCGTGATACCTAATGAACCAAAAACTATATTTTTTTTCCCTTAAAAAGTGAGTTTGAGGATTTGTACTTTACAGTGAAGAGTTTAATTTTCACTCGTGCCTTGACTTTAGCCACCAATCAGATAACCTCCTTCTAGTTAAGTCTACCCGCTTAAAGTCTATTTTGCCCTCCCGGTCCCTACACCCCAGTGCTTTGAAAAACTCTGCGCCATCATCCTGAACTATAGGGTGAAGCCCTTTACAGAACATTATCACGTGTTCGGCAGTTTCTTCTTCCTCTCCACACGCACTGCATACTGTGTCTACCCCTTCGTATTTGGCCCGATATGTCTTGGTTCGCAGTACTCCCGTCCTGGCCTCAAACAGTAGAGAACTACCCCGAGTATTATCATAGATCCCTTCCTTGGCAATTTCCTGCTTAAAATTTCGATAGATCTCTAGTGCGGACTTCTTAATCATGCCCATTCTCTACATGTCAGTCTCCGTTTCCTTCACTTTCTTCTTAACCGATAGTTCTTTTTGGTTTGGCCACCTGCTGCTTTCTAAGTATTTACCAGTCAACTTCCTGGTTCGCTTCCTCCATTTTGTATCGACATTCTTCATGTACAAGTAGCTGAAAACCTTCCTAGCCCAACGCTCTTCCCCCATTTCTCTCAATCGCTTCTCAAATTTTATCTTGCTGCTAGCTTCCCTGCCCTCAAATGATGTCCATCCCATATCACCTTGTACTCCCTGATTTGGTGGATTCCCGTGAGCTCCTAAAGCAATCCTACCTATTCCACGTTGCTTAATTTCTAATCTTGCTTGAACTTCTGATCTCATGCACAAGACCGCATTGCCGAACGTCAGCCCAGGAACCATGACCCCTTTCCATATTCCTCTCACAACATCATACTTATTGTAATTCCACAGTGCCCTATTTTTCATCACTGCTGCATTCCTGTTACGTTTAGTCGTCACGTATATTTCGTGTTCCCTCAGGTACTCGGTCCCATTGCTTATCCATACGCCCAGATATTTGTATTTATCTAATATCTCTAGCGTGACCTCCTGTATTCTAAGCTCACTACCTTCGTTGTCATTGAAAATCATGACTGCTGATTTTTTCCTTGCTGAATATAAAATCTAACCTATCTCCCTCATTACCGCAGATGTCCATCAATCTCTGCAAATATTCCTTGTTGTTGGCCATTAGCACTATATCATCTGCGTACATTAATGCTGGTAGTGCCTGATCAATAAGTTTTCCTTGTTTGACTAAAGGGAGGTTGAAGCCCAGTCTACTTCCCTCTAATTTTGCCTCTAATCCTTGTAGGTACATCATGAATAATGAGGGTGACAGGGGGCACTCCTGCCTAAGTCCCCGTTTTACCTCTGCAGACTTGGATACCTGTTTTTCCCTCTTTATAATTACCTTGTTACCTTTATAGATATCCTTTAAAAGATTTGTGGCTACATCCTCCACGCCTAGTGTGTCCAGTATTCCCCACAATTCCTCTTGAACCACGCTATCGTACGCTCCCTTGATATCTAAAAATGCTAGCCACAGGGGCCTGTGTTCCTTTTCTGCTATTTCGATGCACTGCGTCAGTGAGAACAGATTGTCTTCCAACCTCCTGTGTTTCCGAAACCCATTCTGCAGTTCCCCCAGCACCCCCTCATCCTCTATCCACGCCTGCAGTCTTTCCTTTATAATCTGCATCGCGAGCCTGTAGACCACTGATGTCACTGTTATAGGACGGTAGTTGTTTATGTCAGCTTTGTCCCCCTTTCCTTTATAGATCATGCTCATCCTGCTAAGTTTCCATCCATCGGGAACTTCACCATCGATTATTATTGTGCTCACTGCCTCTCTCAAAGCCTGCTTAGACTTCGGACCTAATGTCTTTATCAGCCTAATTGGAATGCCATCTGGGCCTGTTGATGTACTACTAGGAACCCTTTTCTCAGCCCTTTCCCACTCTTGTTGTGAAAATGGAGCCATATTGCACCACTTAATAGTCTCGGTCGCGAGCGCCACCGCGCGGCACTTGCTCAAAACTGAAGGCAGGCCAACTCCGCTGGGAGGAGCGCGTGATCAAGGCGTCCAGGTAGACAACTTGCGTGATCAAGGCGTCCAGGTAGACAACAGGTCAAGTTCAAGTGTGCTTGTCGTTGAGAAAGCGAAGTGGAGAAGAAAAGAAAAGGAGTTGAGGAGCCAGTTGCTTCGACTGCAACAGACCGTCGACAAGTACAAAATGGAATTGAAAAAGCTGCACGAGGACGCCCTGGTTGCGGATGTTTCTTTCATCAAGGAAAGGGCGAAAGAAAAGGAACCTGCAGATTTATTCTTGATTGATCAAATTGAGAACTTCAAGAAGAAGAGGCCGAGCTGGTCTGAGGAGACAACCCGACGTTGTGTAGTTTTAAGGCATTTGTCGACAAGGGCGTACGAACACATCCGCGGTGAAACGCTTTTGAAGCTTCCTTGCAGAAAGACTCTGAGCAACTACTTGGGAACCACCAGTGGAGAAACGGGCTTCAGCAAACTCGCCGAAGCTCGCCTCAGAGTAGAAGCCAAAAGCTTGACTGTACCACAGTCAAGGGTGTGTTCACTCATAGTCGACGAAATGAAGATCAGGGAAAAGCTGCAGTACAACAAACAGCAGGACTGCTTTGTGGGGCACGCCGGTGTCTCTTTGGAACAACATGGTGGGGACCTCACCTTAGCAAACTCTCTTCTCTGCTTCCTAATTACAGGACTCTCCACGTCGTATCACATTCCAGTGGCCTACTATTTTACCAAGGGTTTAACAGGCCCACAGTTTCACAAGTTGTTGATTTTTGTGCTTGAAAAAGTAGAAGCCTGTGGTTTCAGGGTAGTTCGCTTAGTGAGTGATAACCACAGAGTGAACGTCAATGCCATGACACTTTTGGACGATGGTCTTCTCACGTACCGGATAGAACATCCCTGTGACCGCGACAGGCTCCTCTTTTTAAGTTTTGATGCATGCCATGTTTTAAAAAACGTGCGCTCGCAGTTTCTGGCCCACGACATTGGCCCGAAAGGAGAGGTCTCATTCTGCTACATCAAGAAGCTCTACGACCCACGGAAGGACCTGGTTGTAAAGCCTGTCTGCTACCTCAGCCGAAAACATGTCTATCCGAATAACATAGAAAAAAATGAATGTCGCAAGGGCAATTCAGGTCTTCTCGCCTGATGTTACTGCAGCCCTGGAGCATCTCAGAGACCAAGCTGGGCATACATCGAGTGTATCATTCGCAGCTGCAGGCCAGACCATCATTTTCATGCAAAACATCTATCGATGGTTCGTGCTGCATAATTGAAGCAATACGACCCAGCACATCCACAAAAAGTGGCCTAACACTCGGCAGTTTGACGATGCTGAAGATGCAAGACTGGAGTGGCTCGAGGTCACGCTACCCATGTACTTGGATGAACTGGAAAAAAAAACTGTCGAAGTCAAAAGAAATTTTTGACGAAAGAAACGTATGAAGCATTCCTCCTGACCACATATTCCACAGTTGCCTGTATCAAGTACCTGCTCACAGAAGAGAAGTTCTTGTTTAAAAAATCCATTGTCTACCCTGGTTAAGTATGCTGTGCCAGCACTGTGTGCTTCAAACCTGCTCAAGTGCAAGGAGATGGATGACACTCACAGAACTAAGCTCATGGAGCTGATATCTGTTCGGTTTTTGCGGCCCCTGCTGGTGAACTATGCATTCACTGTCAGTGACAAGAATGATGCTTTCAAGTACTTCGCGAAAAAGCCCCTGTCAAGAAAATATGCAAAACTGTGAGGCTACCGAAAATAGAGGAACTTACAAATAAATGTTCCTTCTTTCTTCAAAACGTATTCGTATCGCATCCATTGGGTTCATTTTTCAGAATATAGAGCTGATACGCAAGGCAAGTCAACGTTGGAAATTCATGTACATCATATCCAAGCATGTAGGTGCGTGCGTACACGGCATGTTTTTGGTATTCATTTAGCATGGCGTTCTTCGCTTGCGGCTAGTGCGTGAAAGCTGGCAACCAGATATCTGAAACACTCGGTAACATAATTCAGCGATTACAGCCGCGATATATTGAGGTTTGAGAGCAGAACATTAAGGATTTAATCTGTTTACTTTTCAGCGCGGAGCCAGAAACACGGCGGCTGCGGCACGTAGCGAACTCCGGCACCCTGTTTAGGCGGCGGCACCTAGTGTCGAGACGCCGCACTCGCGCCGACGGAGTATTTTCATTGTTCTCTTCCACTTTTACCGGGCACTGAAAGTTTATAAAGGAGGCACTGCCTCAGCTTGTTTCGCCATTAGACCAATGCTAGCTCCGGGAGATCGTCGTCTGCTACTTGTGCGTTGCGGGAATATGTTTGTCGAAAATTGCTACTTCATGATGTGATCACGGCTAGACGATAACTTAGGATATAATTACACTTTAATTAGGAGCTGTAAGCAGATGCTCGATTAGATTACTACGAGCGGGCGCGTGGTCTACGAGCGTGGCGCATCATCAGAGTCGTCTTAGACAAGGTCTAACTCCGCTGATGGAGAGACAAAATTTGCTGGAAAGAACGACGCGCTAGCGCACTCGTGCCAACGTGCTTCTTTGCAAGCCATGAAGCACATCACTCGCTAGCTCCTCGGAACCGCGGACGGGCATTTTACGCATCGGCAGTGGACCCCACAGTCAAGCTCATCAACACCCCTCCACTGCTAAGGATTGCTTGGAATAGCGGCTAGTAGTTTCGGGTGTCGGCACTCGGAAATGCGATACACCAAGCACAGTGCGCACTGGTTTTCATCATCATAGCTACACACTTCGCGCA